ACGGCCGTCTATGTCCTGATGTTAAGCAGTGATCTGAAAATTCTGAGTTTGAATTAAGTCTGATAAATAACATTAATGATGAAATGAGAAAAAGATAGCTTACTTGGTTGTTACTTATTACTTACATCACTGTGTTTCTCAGTTCGAATTATTTCTTCTGATTAGCGTTTTTTTAGCTAGTTAGTTTTCTACGGTATAGAGTTGATAACCCCATGCTCGACCCTCCTCACTGATCCGGTTTCCGAACTGGCAGTAGCCTCAGAGGTACTCTAGGCGGAGGAAGTAATCAGCATAGAAGCAAAAAGGAAGGCCCAGAACCAAGTGGGTTTGAGAATGGTGGTTGGTGGCCAATGTTCTATCGCGAATATGAGGCATAAGTAAGTAAGTAATTCTGGGCAAGTCTACGAAAGGCTGTTGGCATTGAACAATTTTAAAAGTGACCAATCAGAAGAAAGCTTACTCCTTGATAGTTAACATAACATTAAAGAATAAGAATGGTTCAGGAGAAAAATTTTTTTAGAAAAAACTATCGAAAAGATTAATCATTTGTACTGCTTATTTGAATCTTTCGTTGATTTTTAGATCAGGAATTGATCAGTCACTTTTGGCATATCTGCATCCTGCACGGATCGCTTAGATATTGCCATTAAGTCTAATTCCTCATAAGCACAGGTAGTTGGTGGCTAGTAATGGAATCCAAAACGCGCATTTCGTCCTATTTGGGATTCGACGGTCGTATTTGACGTCAATCTTCAATTACAATGCGTCTGTGGGCTGCTTTCAATGCAGGAATTTGTAGTACACTGAATCGTGAGAATCCCATATGATAGTGGCAATCATCTCACATACATTATGACGCCGAAAAAGATTTCATTAGGTTCTAATATACACTCTGTTCAATGCAGTTTCATGAACAAGGAAGTCGATATTTGGTGATGCGTTGCACTTTATTGGTTGTTCAACAATGATCGGTTGTGTCACACACTGGTCGGTCCATGATTGATTCTTATCAAAGTCAGTTTGATGATTTCAATGTCGATTGTCCACTAGATTTTTCACTCATTTCAGTAACACTATTGAAAAGTTTGCCTGATAATAATGGTGTTGTGATACCTATGTGATTCTGTAGTTCTGACAGATACAGAGATCTTTCATCGATGTCTTGACGAGATACCCCACTTCTCAGACTGTCGATACTTGTTCTCCAGCATCAGTATTTCTAAAGAGAGAATGTGACATCTTTGTATTTGCCTCTATATCAAAACTGAGTGATTAAGTTTTTGTGACCTGTGGTTCTAGTGCTGTACCACTCCTGATTTGTCAGATTTTCCTGCTGATTTGTTCTGTTGATGGTGCTGTAGTATTTATTTGTAGGTCTGTAGATGTGGCTTCGAATTCCTTGTCTACAATTGATTACAGTGTCTCATTAGACTGATCTTATTCATTCCCATTGCTATCACAGTTCGGTTCATTGCACTGAATGTGATTTACTGTAATCCACGACATTTTCGTTTTGATTGGTGTTCCAATGATTCTAGATCCACCAGATTCTCATCAAATGAGTGCTTCTCGTGCTTTTCTGGACAGCACCAGATAAAAATTCTTGTGTGTGAGAAGTAGTTTCTTCTTTATGACCAGAATACAGCAGCATTTCTTCCGAATCTATCCTTTTCTGTCCAGCTTGAGTGCGATGAATTTCTCTCATTCTAAGCATCGCCTTCCTGTATTTTTTTCATTTTTGCAGCTACTTTAATGGTCTTCTCCGTCCTACACACTGTGCAAACATTCCATGTAACCATGTTAAACGTTGATCTGGTTGTGAGAAGACGATTCGTTCTCATTGTTTATGAAGAATGTGAGCTTTCATCATGAGGCGTCATAATTCTTCTGAATGAAGATTCCACAACTCTCAGAGTATATATATATATATATATACATATATATATATATATATATCTGCAAGAACACGTTAGAAGTCATCTGGAAATAAAATTCAAAGGCATAATGGAGTGGTTGTGTCATAATTTTAGAAGTTGTGACAGGTCTGCATAAAATTACTTTAATTAAACATTGATGAGATGGGTTACGCAATAATTGAAAAGTATTTGAAGATGAATGGTGGCCATCAGTGAAATCGAGTTTGACGAGCGTTTCGCCCTATTTGCGACTCATCAGCTGGATGTGCCTGAATCTCAGAGTTCACTCTGAGGCTCGAACCCAGTACCGTTCGCTTCAAAAAGGACGAAACGTGCGTCTTCGATTCCACTGCTATCCATCATCGATCTTTGCCTATATTACTTGTGATTTAAGGTCATCCTTACAGGATGCACATATGCCAATAAGTGACGGATCAATTACAGTCCTAAACATTAATGGGAACATTCAAACAAACAGTACCAAGTGAATTTAAGATTTGAAGAGTTTACATAAGTTAACAGATTTAAATGAATGAAAATGTATGAGTGAATAGATGGTTTCGGTGTACATAAAATAATAAATAGTTAAGGGTAGATCGCATAACGACTTAATAAACACTAATAAAATGATTATATTGACGAAAACAATTGACCAAGATGTTGATAAGTTTATTATTGTCTCAATCCGGATACATAAACCAGGTCTGATTTATTTTATTTCTGTTGATTCGGCAAGGCTTGTGGAATGTCAATATTATGCTCAGTGTCAAGTAAATGTCAAGCTATTGAACTATTTAAAGCTGGAAAGAGAGGAACTGTCAAATTTTGTTTGTTTGAGTGAGCAGTTCATTTCAAATAACATCAATAGTCTTGCTGATGGATAAGCAACATTGAACGTGGCATTTATCCTATGGTTAATTATTCTAGTAATTTCACCTCCTTTGAAGTGCAAATATAAGAAGCAGGTTTTGTTATCCACTGTATCGTATTTGATTCGTAGGTTGGTTTTGGCATACATCTCTACTAATTTCACTGAATATACATTTTCACATAGACGATTTGCAATAAAGACAAGTTGTTCCAGTATTTCATTCGTGCAAAGTTTACAAGGACGGTCATAAATGGCTCGCACAATTTCCTTTTTCTAACGTATTAGATAGGAACTGTTATAGCTAAGATAAATCCCACTCCAGGTATTTTTGTGGTGAATGTGTCTTTGTAGTATGCCGTCTGAAGTTTGTCTGTTTACAATATCTAAGAAACCTATTTGTATGGCAGCGTTATTTCAATTCATAATAACTGTAGTGAACAAGAACACCGGTGGGGACGATCGGATGTATTTAACACGTTACAGGACTTGTTAATAAAATCTAACAATCCTAAAGTAAATGCTTAATTTACAAAATGTCCACCAGTTGTCTCAAAATGATTCACACTTCATCGTTTTTGCATTTTCATACAAATTGCATACTGTTTCCATTATTTACTGCCCGATCCTCTTGTATCTCTGCTTCCAAACCTTCTGTTCACGACTGACATTATCTACTACTTATGTCAATATAAGTAGCACACACCATATAACTCACCTATATCTTAATCCTTGTGCAAATGAGTATGTATCATTGATTGCATTAGATAGCCTACGTATTTATGTACCTTACTTAAATGTTGACTCTTTGAACCCCTTAATAACGACTCACGTATATCCCTACAAATTTTGTTTTGTTAAAACTAAATGCATTTATCGTTTATTAGCTGGTAGTCGTCTGATTTGAGCTGTGTTTAAAATAAACTGTTGTCATTACTTCGTTTTACCTTCTGGAATTTGTGCAACATTAAGAGTTATGGTAATAACAGTTGTCAAGTTTATTAACATACCAAGTATAAGAATAGTTTCGAAGATATTTCAAAACAATTGGTTAACAATACTTCATTTGGAATATATATATTCAAAATGAAGTATTGTTAACCATTTGTTTTAGACAACAACAGTATTCTAATAACAGAACAAAACACTATAGGTTGAATGAAACTATCGGTTAATCACTTTTGTGTAAATTTATTTATATGGTATTCATTCATAAATATTTCCAACCCCCTTGAGGTGAATTAAATAGAATTTACTTAAATTTTTTTTATATTTCGTACCGGAAAATTGTGTACTTTTGTTAAATAATTGGAAACAACAGACAACAATCTCCTACCCCCACACTGAAAATGGATTTTTTTTCAGTTGGCATTCACTTTTGAATTCATGAAGGCATTGTTACTTGGAATGAGAATTGAATTTATATCAGTCAGTATATTAGTCTTTCAAATAATTGAAAAGTTATTTTAGTCTAGGTTATATTATCTTTAAGGATGTGATATCTAACTTGAATATATCAACTGAATATAATTTACATAAACTTTATTCTTCTTAAAAATTTGCATGAACTAACTGTTCATTTGAACATTTTTATCAAATTTGACAATCAGGTCTTTATAATCCAAAAAAGAATGCTGGACGATTTCAATCAGTTCCACTTTGAATCAATGAAAGTTCTGATAAGACGATGGTTGGAGGTAGTCGACAGGAAACCCTGGACCCGGATTTCGTGCTACTTGGCACTCGTCAGTAAGGTGTACCTTTAATCTTGAGGGAACTGGTGCTCTCTGCGACTGACCTTTTGTAGGACTGATATGTATTCACAATTGATTGATCACTGGGTGGTGATCAATGTCATGTGTGTCAACTCCTTCTTAGTGCAGATCGAATGCTATCGACCATGTTGCAATGTGACCACCAGTCTAGGTGACTCGACATTGCGTGCACTATGTTGAGATAAGATGGTGAAAAAGGGTCGAATCCTTCACAGAGCACCAGTTCCCTCAAGATTATAGGTACACCCTGCTGACGAGTGCCAAGTAGAACGAAATCCGGGTCCAGGGTTTCCTGTCGACTACCTCCAACCACCATCTAAATCTCAATACATAGTGCCCGCAGTGTCGAGTCACCTAGACTGGTGGCCATATTGCAACATGATCGATAGCATTCGATCTGCACTAAGAAGGAGTTGACACGCATGACATTGATCACCACCCAGTGATCAATCAATTGTGAATACATATCAGCTTTATTCAATATTATATTTTTGGTACAATATAAAATTATTAGCGTAAAGTATTTCAACAAGTTTCCGTTTCTTTTTTCTTGGTCGGTCCTGGCGATAAATAGTGAGTGATCGCCAGTTAGATGTTAGCAGTTCAGTAAATGAACATCTGAATAATGTGCATTCTTTTCGTTGTATATTGCCAGTAACCACATAGTCTCTTATTGAGTTTTTTGTAACATTGTCAACGAAATGTTGTACACTTTTCAAAAACGCAGCAGAATAGGTTATGCGATTAATAAATATAATGATATATGAAAACAAAAAAAATAGATAACTTGTTGAAATATCTAGATGGCAGGAACAGGTAGCCCAGATGCTCAAACAGGCTGCCCTTTATAGCCATTTGACTCTTGTTATCACGGTCGTCAAAAATCGACTTTAATAAGTCTCTTCAGAGAGCACAAAGTACCATGTTTTGCGGGAATACATTTAAGAACAATGCCAAGTACAACTTCTTAATTTGAAATAAAGGAATTTTTTCGCCCTTATCACTGTATGTATTCCAAATATAAATGAGTACTTATCTGAAATTATGATCATAATGGGGTTTGTGGAGATTGTATTATTTTAATGGTTGAATTTATGAGTCTATGTAAGCTAGATCACCATGGAAAACTTGGAAACAGTGGACAGACGTTTCATCATAGTATGGGACTCCTCAGCAGTGTCTCAACGACCCCGAACGCATGATTCGAACCTATGACCTTCGGTCTCGCATGCAAACGACTAACCTCTAAATCACTGACCCGGTGTGCTGCTAAGGAGTCCCATATTAGGACAAAACGGTCATCCAGCGCACATCGACTCATAAATTCAACTATTAAAATTACTACAATATCCACAAACCCCATTCCGATAATAATCATCATGTGTATAATAGTGACTGGGACCTAGATGATTTCCTGGAGTTCTGGTGGAGAAGCCGTGACCAGTGGAGTCTAATCCGTGTTGAGTAGAGACAGGTATTGACCTCAGACAATAGATGAATGGTTGCACAGCTATTCATGAATTGATCGAAGTATAGATACTAACACTGTTAGATATTGCTGAGGAGCCCCACGGTGGGACGAAACGGTCATCCAGTGCTTCTTGGTTTCCAACGGTGGTCTAACATCAATCGATTCATGATCTCAATCAAAATATTTATCTGAAAACTTAAGTGAGTATATATGATTTACTTGTTACTTTTTGATTTGAGATAATTCATCAGCTGATTTCAATTGATGAAGGATACTACTCGTTTAATTTACTTGCAAACTTACGATCGTTTTTCTTCCCCTATAGATCATGATCCCACCCATCATTTAATCATAAACAATAAATCAGAATACGTTTTGATATAGATATATATACGTGTGGGACAGACATATTTAATGAGAAAAAACACACACACTCATCATATGAATGTCTATCCTACATAAATTCATTGATAGTCTACCTTTATTATGGAATTTTACGGATTGTCACATGTGCGTTGCCCACTATTTTTTTTTCTAAAAACTCGTATCCTCACTGATTTGTGATTGGTTAATAATTGGGCCGTTTGACCTTGTAATGATTATTACTATTATTAGATATAGTACATATCCATCCTTTGTAAAATATAATGGAGTTATTATGTATTTGAGTATTTAGATTTTTTAAATTTTTACTATTGATATTCGATATTGTGCATTGAAAAAAGAACTTAGTTGCTATGACTACTAAAAGAATCAAACGATTTACACCAATATGGTCGACATGTTTTTGTATTGATACTCATCGTTGTGGATTATTTAAAGAAACGAATAGAAAATTAGCTTATTTCATACAAAAAGGTGATCTTCCAGCAATTGAGCATATATTAAAACGAATAAAACAACCATTAAATAATTTAACGATAATCGTGAAACGACATCATTTCAATACATTCTATCCATATTTAATGAATCATCATCATCATTTTTATCAAGAATGTTCACCCGTTCTATGGGCTATAGATTGTTTACAATGGAATGTCCTACCATTATTATCCTATTATGGTATAGATATCAATCGTCCACAATTATGTCGTCGTTGGACTTGTATATGTAAAAAGAATTCACGATCAAATAATAATAATATATTACCATATCGTAAATTTTGGACTCATGGTCATTATACATATCAATCTGCATTAGATTATTTCTTTGCTAGTATTTATGAATATATAAATGATAATTATTCAAATGATATAAATCTATTAACATTTTATGATATACATTTATCAAATTTATTAACAAAAGGTATTGATATACATCGTATTGATTCAGTTATTATATTTAATTTATTAGCAATTAGTTTTAATCAATATTTATATCAATCTATAACATCTATGAATGAACATTTAATCCTAACAAAAATTAATAATCAATCATTTATTGAATTACTAATGATAAAAAAACTAATTAAAAATGGTTATTCACAATTTGAATGTATGGATTATTTATATTCCTATTGTAATTGGTTTAGTATATTACTATGTTTATTATGTCATCCGAATATTGATTTACATAATAATAATAATAATAATAATAATAATAATAATAATAATAATAATAATAATAATAATAATAATAATAATAATAATAATAATAATAATAATAATGGTAATAATAATAGTAATAATAGTGGTAATAATAATAATAGTAATAATAATGATGATGATAACAATAATACTACCACTGATAATAATAGTAGTAATAATAATATGCCAAAAATGATAAAACAATCAATATTATTATTGATTAATTTACTTGTATTAAAATGTACTATCCCAACTATAGAAGATTTTTCGGAATTCATTGAAAATTTACCATTATGTAAATTATATATTAAATATTATTATTATCATAATAATAAATATCATGAATTTTATAAACGTTTAATTCATTTACATCAATTATGTTATGAATTTATTAATAAACCATTAAGTTTAAAATTATTAACAAGAAATAAAATAAGAAAACAAATTGGTGGTATTGATTTTTATAAAAAAATCAATAATATTGATTTACCGAGACAATTAATTACATTTATACAATATATTAATTATGAACAATTTGTGATTATGAATGATATACCAAAACAATTGATTCAATTAATACAAGGTGAATGGATCGATATAAATTCAACAATAAGTTGTAATAATAATAAATTGGAAGAATCTATGAATATATTCAATCAATCGAATGATTTGGAACAGATCAATAATAATAATCATGATAATGAAGAACAATTGACTATGAATAATAATAATAGTTTACAACGTGGTAGAGCCTCAGAACGTCAACATATTCATATGTATCAAAGAAGAATAAATAAACAGAAACAACCATTAAGACCTACATCAGCTCCATTATTTAGAACATTTGTTAGATAAGAAGACAAAAAGGATTATCTTTTTTTTATTTATTTGGAAACTATATTTATCTCAGGGATTATAACAACAACAACAAAAAACTAACTAAATCAGAAGGGATTTTGTGGAGATTGTAGTCATTTCAACAGTTGAGATCATGAGTTGATTGGAGCTGGACCACCATGGAAAACCTGAAATGTTAATCTTTCAATAATTTTTTGTTTGTTACCTTCTCATCCCCCTTATTTATTTGTTTATTATAAAAGCATAAAATCATTTTGTTAAATTATTCAATTGATCATTGATCAAATTAGGTGTAAAGTAAGTTCTATTTTTACTATATTTGTTGTTGTTGTTCTTTTTATCATTGCTGGTGTTGTTGTTATTTTGTCCAAATGATTAGTCTATTATTTCTATTGATTGTATATCGATTTTTTGATATTTTTAGTACCACATATTAATATTTACTAGAATATAATTGATGAACATCCCCATAATGTTTACACTTTGTAAATTACTGACTAGTTAAATACTTATTTATGTTGTTAATGTGATACATAAATATTACTATAGTCAGGGGGGAAGGAAGATTCTTTTTATTATTACATCATTATGTTTGTTGTTGTTTTTTAGAAAGAAAACATTTTTTTATGTAGAAATTCTTTTTAATAATCTTAAGTACAATCGTTTACAAGATCAATATGTATGTTAATCTTTTGTTCATTTTATGATCAATTTTATCAACGATCAAATCCAATCTTCAATGATCAATTCAATGATTATTGATCTTAAAATCATTCGATATTTGATTGTTTATTGTTTGTATTTTGTTTTTCTATAAATATTTATTTGTTTACTTGTTACTATGTATGTTTATGTTGATCACTTGTAAATATAAATATTGATTAAGATATAGAAGATTTATAAGAAATAAAAAAAACAATACATTTCAGAAATTGTCTATTATTTATTGATTTTTTGTTTATTTATTGATCGATTGTTTTTAGAGGATAAAATTTTAAAAAATAAATAAACAAACTTGCTATTTGACCATTGCTTTTTCACTTTCTTTCATTCCTCTAAATATATAGAAGTTAATTTGTTTATTAAATTGTACTGTGTCCCAATCACATTCATATTTTGAATGAATAATGTATGATTTATATAAGCAAAATCATATAGATAATCGATAGGTTATTTTCTGAATGTTATCCAAGTATTAATCCAATTTAATGAATGTTATATTCCAGGGTGTTATATAAATTAGGGCGAGACACCAATTTATGGACGACCTTTGAACGGATCGCAAGTGACTTTGAGAACTATTAGCCAATCAGCGAACACTCGATATAGATTAAAATACATTATACAAAACCAAGGAAATAAAGTGGATACACTTCTTATACGTGCTTCAAAAAATTGTCAAAGTTAGAAAGAGGTTCGGAGGTTCTAAAATCGTAATGTATGCAGTAGAGGAAATTACCCATGCGGCTACAGAATAGCCGGCATCTGGAGCCATGATAAAGTCTCAAAAACTCTTTCAGCATCGACCACATAGCTTCAATATTGTTTCTGTGCACTCCGGTTGTTGAGTGCGCAAAATAATACTTGTAAATAATAGCACGATGCACATAACAAAGCCTATGTATGAGGCTGTACACTCTCCAAACATTCGAATATATTGTAGTACCTGGATGCAACCAAGAGAGCGCCAATATATATGCGCAACGCAAAACAATGAAAATTCGAGAGGAATACAAAGAAAGAAAAAAAGGCTAAGGAGCGCAAAAAAGAGAGAGAACAATAACGAAGAGATTGGTGTAAGGTAATGTGCTAGTAATCAGGGAACGCAAAGGTACAATCGAAAGAAATCTTTCAGGTAAGGGAGACACAACCACTTTTTATGAAGAAAGTAAAAGAAGGTTACAGCAGGATCGCCACTGGCTTCTATTCTGAGCCATATCTGATAACGTCTCTAGCCGCTGTGTAGCACCATCTCTCAGACCCCAACCAGGGAGTCGTGAAGGACCAACACGAGTCAGTCATTTGCAGCTTTCTTTCATCCCACGACACCATGTCATGCACTGACCACCTCTCCGCTTTTTCCAACCAGTCCCAGAGTCGGCAAACAATGCACGACGTGGAATTCTCTGGGACGACATTCGTAGAACATGTCCAAGCCACCGAAGTCGGTGTTTCAAGATGGTGACACCAATTGAATTATCATCTTTGTGCCCGAACACACGATGCCGAGCCTCTGCATTACCGACATGGTGTTGCCACTGAATATCAGCAATCCTTCGGAGACAGCGATGATCGAACACAGAGAGTCGTCTAACGTCCTCAACTCGGAGAGGCCAGGTTTCACAAGCATAGAGCAAAACTGCTCTCACCGACGCGTTGTAAATCCGACCATTTACAGCCAGACTAACATCACGAAGGCGCCAAAGGTGGCCCAAATTGGCATAAGCCGCTCTGGCTTTCACTATACGTGCATTGATCTCATCACTCACACCCCCACCAGCACTTATGCAGCTACCCAGATACACGAACTTCTCGACTACTTCTATCTGCTCACCATCCAGGGTGAGCACAGGATTGGAATCCTGCCAGTCTTGTAGGAGTACTTTGCACTTCGAAGGTGCAAAGCACATACCATACCTACGGACACTGATCGCCAACTGATTAAGTGCGGATTGCATGGCTTGGGCATTATCGCACAGTAAGACAATATCGTCCGCATACTCAAGGTCGAGAAGTCTTTCTCCAGGCAACAGATCCACACCACTATTACTTACATTCATCAGAGCTGTTTCCAGAATGTCATCGATGGCAAAGTTGAAGAGGAATGGTGAGATTGGGCAACCCTGCCTAACCCCACTACTCGAATGGAACAATGGAGTGAGGTGGTTGTATGCCCTCACTCTGCCTGAGGTGTTTTTATATAGGGCTTTTAGGATGTTAATAAACTTCTCAGGCACACCCTTCTTCAATAGACAATCCCAGAGAACAGTCCTGTCCAACGAATCGAAGGCAGCCCTGATGTCAAGAAACACTACGATTGTTGGCCTTTGATAAGTATGGTGATGTTCTAACATTTGGCGGAGGGTGAAGATATGATCAATACATCCTCGACCAGAACGAAACCCAGCCTGCTCCTCACGAGTCAATCTTTCTCGGGTTTTGAACAACCTACGAAGTATGACGGAAGCCAATAGCTTGGACGTAATCGGAAGTAGACTTATCCCCCGATAGTTGTTGCAGGAACGACGTGAACCCTTTTTAAATATAGGGACAACTATCGACTCATTCCGTGACGTTGGTACACTCTCTAGTTCCCAAACATTTGTAAACAACCTCGTCAATTCCTTAGTCAAAAAGTCACCACCATCTTTAAAAAGAGCCGGAGGTAAGTCATCTGGGCCACGTGATTTGTAACGCTTCAAGAGTTGGAGTTCCTTGCAGACTTCCTCCTCGTTTGGTGGATCGGTCGTCACCGGCCATGGAGGGCAGGACAGGTTGACCGATGTTACCGAAGCAGCAGGCCAGTCGAACTGCCCTTCAAAAAATTCTGCCCATCGTACAAGACGTCGATGGATGTTAGTGATTGGCATCCCATCATCCTCGCAGATTGTTTCACTCACACCAGACTTCTTACTGCCAGTCGCTCGGATGAGCTGGAAGAGCTTCCGGTAGTTACCAGAAGCAGCTGCTGCTTCCAGCTCATTAGCACACTCCGACCACCAGGCTTCTCGGTCCTTACGCAAGCTTTGCCCAATTTCCTTACGTAACATCCTTCGTTTATGGTCAAAATCACGGTCACCCGGAGTAGACCGACGGGCTTCAATGAGTTGTAAGAAACCAGAAGAAACCCAGTGCTTAAAAACGGGACGTTTCGCAAACCCACAACTGACTGTTCCCGCCATTTTCATGGCGTCATGCAATGCAACCAATGCTCATCTATACTTTTCGGTGGAGTGGTAGCTAGCCTAGAAGCTAGCTCGGTTAGATACTTATTTGCAACAGAAGTTACAACCAGCTTGCTAACATCAATCCACTGGTGGCGGACACTTTGTTGTCCACTGAAAAGTAAGGTAAGATTGGCGCAGACCAAGGCATGGTCAGAGTCCAGATAGGTACTCAAAAAGGAGCGGCAGTCTTTTACACAACCACGCCAGCGGTAGCTGATCGCGATGTGATCAATCTGAGTCCAGGCTTGGGTGGCACATCGGCGATGACTGTGCCGAAAGTTAGTGCTAGCCAGAAACAGGTTGTGGTCTGTGCACAGTTGCAGTAGACGGTCCCCGTTATCTGACCTGCGACCAACGAGTCCCCATCGGCCACCTAAACGACTCTCTTCTGTGCCTAGACGCCCGACCTGAGCATTCAAGTCTCCGGCTAGTACTACAATATCTGTCGAGCGCACTTTCTGGAGAAGAACAGATAACTGGTGGTAAAACTCATCCTTGATTGCATCCGGGCTACAATTTGTCGGGGCATAGACGTAGATGACGAAAAGACATTGTTTCTCACGACGATTTCTTCTCACTTTGATGGAACTTTCTAATCTAACAGCACATAGCCGACTGTTAATGGGGATCCAATCAACTAGTGCTGCCTCAGCTCTAGCGCTTAGTGCGACACCAACGCCAGCAAGACCAAACGAAGATGCCACAGGGTCCTCGGATAAGCGCACGTAAAACAAGCTTTTTGAAGTGACAGATGTAGAGCGAATTTGTAGTACTTCGCCAGAGTCTTGAATACGGGTCTCGGATAGACAACAAACATCAATATTACGACTTTCCAAAGACATAGCCAGCCCTATCTGTTGTCCGACCTGCATAAGTGTGCGAACGTTGAAGGCAGCCAGTTTGAATGGTGCATGTGGTTTCAGAAAAACTGCTTCAGTTCTCGTGTTCGGTGATAACATACAATTTTCAATCGAACAGTGACTCGAGAACGTTTAGATACAGTCGAATTTCCACCAAAGACGAGCCGCTGTATAAGTATAAAAGAGGGTGAATAATGTGGAAAATAATAATAATAATAATAATGACAATAATGGTAATAATAATAATAGTATTAATAATGACAATAATTGTAATGATAATAATTTGAATCAATTTATTGTTTTTCGAAGCGAGAAAGGTAATTTCCATATACATAAAGAGTTCATTTGTGTGTGGGCTGTGATACTGCCCGGGTGCCCAAACCGAAGCAGGTGGTTATCTTAGGGGGCCACCCCCCCGAGCCTTTGACCTAAAGGTCTAACCCACAAGGCGGTGGAGCATCGTAAGTAGATGAAATCTCATGATAGCCGGTGACCAAAGATTGGTTCATACGCCATTTGTTCCCGCAGGATACTGAAGCCCATGTGCACCATTGGTTTGTGATCCGGTTAAAGCGCCGGACATTCGCTTTTCGTCCTCTCATTTTCGTAAACAACACCCCCGCCACAAGAAGGCAATGAGTAGAACTTCCCTGACAGAGGCTGTATACGCGCAGCCGTGTGAGAGGGGACTCATCCCACTCTCGGCCGTAGCAGGGCATTCGGGGGCTGCAACCAGTGTTACTGGTGCTTTTATTATCCAGTTCGCAATAATTGTCATAATTTGCGTTAGTTAAGGATTATATATGGGGTTTTCATCACGAACTGACATCAGCTATAATGCCAGAAATTTATTTATCCAAATAAATGAAAGGCTTTCGCGTTGAAATCCGAGATCAATTATCTTATACCTGATTTATTCATCCACAAATCATAGTTTCGCCGTTTTATTTATTATAGCCGCTCAATGATCACGTTTAGTACAAAATTCCTTGTGAACCGATCGTATGTTAGCATCAAACACTGAATGTGACGCCGTAACCTTGAAATCTCTAAACTG